GCGGAAACGGTGGTGTGAGCGAGAACGGTAGCGTGCGCAAGGGCGGGATCGTGAAAGTGACATGAGCGCAAGCGTAAACGGTAGCGGTAGCGGAAGCGAGGTGAGAATAAGGTGCGGGAAATTAAGAATGATGATAAAGTTGCCATTTCAGTCATTATCAAGGTAAAGTGCTAATATCCGAGCAAAGACGTCATATATTACATCGGCTGGAAGACTTTTGAAGACATCTATACATTCACTGATAATTTCTTCGACGGCGGTAAACTTTCTGTTGTCAGATTTTTTTAATTCAAATTCTTTGGTTTTGATGATATATTGGGAATATGAGACAAAATATGTCCAATGCTCAATTGTAAATTTGAAGATCGTTCAGCACGACATAATTGTTGTGTAAACATGTTATGTGGTACTTTAGTTTACTTAGTTTCTTCTATTTGGCCATTTTCAACTTGTGTGGTTCCAGTATTCCTACTTGAATACTGTCGAATCACCCTTAGGATATGTTGCCTGCTTTTTAAATTTGTCTTTTGACGTCTTATCTGTCATATGCAGGCTTCATAACCTCAGACCCCCTTTCAAAATTCCATTTTATTTAGTTCCGCCCATTGTTTTCTCGTTTAGGGCAAACACATTCTTTCACTTTGGGACCATACGCCGCTTTTCATGGAGTGACACTACTGTGCCACGTTGAAGGTTCCATGATAACCGCCGTATGAACACATCAGCGGATGTTTCTAAATTCAAAATTTCTCCATTTTCATGTTAAATGTTGAATCCTGCTTAAGCCGGTGCTAGGGGACGTTGACGGTAACTTGCACTTTCCAGTACCGTCCATGAACAGGCTCAATCAACCGAGCCTGCAACATTTTCAATTGTGTTGTGTTGAACTTTCCTTTCCTTAGGGATTCTGTTTTTCTGATGTTTACTGCCTGTTTTTGTTTTTTGTAGAATTCAATCCGTATTAAAGTCATTTTTTAGTTGAATATGATAGTCAGAGATATTTAGCATGCATTTGCTGGAATATACTTTATCTTCCTTTGGATGTCAAATATACAAGTATTGTTAAAGATTATTTGTCTGTTTTTGTTTTACGTCGAAAACCACTTGGTAGAACTACTCTCAATTCGTGTTACGTGCAAGGTTATTATAGATAAAGGCAGACACCGATTGCTTCAGTAAATAGTGAGTTTATGAATGTTTCTGGTCAAAAGTGCATGCAGATGTTAATATTTCTGGTGTAAAACATTATTAACATGAGACTGAAAACAAATAACCCCGAATTATTTTTTTTCAATTTACAAACATTCATTTTTATCAAAGCACAAACAGTCCGAATTTATTGTAAGAAAGTTATACAAATACATGTTTATATCTTCAAAGATAATGTAATGATTATATTAGAACATTTTGCCCTAAAACATGGAAACGTAATTAAACAGATATAGATTATTGATATTTGATGGAAATGAATGCTGTCTTCTGTGTAGCAAAATATCACCTATTAAAAGCATTTTGTCATATAAAGTTACGGTATTTTCCCGGATCACTTATTTCAGGTGGTTATTTGACGTCATTGTCTTTATCCAGTGCAAGTCTTTTGCTTAATATTGTACATCTAAGTTCAGCAGGAAGGGTCTGGAATACTGTTTTACATTCATCAATTATTTCACGAACAGTTAGCTGTTTTCCGTTTAATTCCCGTGTATATGAGAGAGAGAGTGGGCATCGAGAGTGTCAGGTTTATACAAACCATAATATATTCTATGTGGCAGTTTGGCGATTATGTCCACAGCGTTGTCTATAAGTGATTTGTAATTCAGTGCCAAAGACGTCGTTAGAATACTTAAACATTGTCGTGTTGGCACTACGTGATATATACAACTACTTTTATGATCGTTTTTAGCAGATAAATAATTTTTTTCAAGCCAGTTTTTCATAATCGATTTGCAACTTTGGATGATGGAGTCAACTTGATATTCCTCCGCTATAGGTACAATGCGCAGTACATTGGCTTCTGAAAACACATAAAGAAATGCAATTAGACAGGACCGACATGATACTGAAATTCATACGGTTTGTTAAAGATCGAAAACTACCTTCAAATAAACCGATCTTGTTTTACCATGTAATTGTAAATACACATTTACTCTAAATACACAAAACAAAAACTATAATTCACTCCTTTTCTTTTTTTTCTTTTTGCTTTTTTTGCTGCCTAGATATTATATAATAAGGGTAAGTGAAACTGAATCAAATGCGCAAGAATATAGAAAAGTAGGAATTAAGAAAAGAATAATATGTAATCCTGTATTCAAAGACTTTTTAAATTAATTTGATAAGAGAAAAAACCCTTAAAACACACCGCTTGACTTTGAACGTTAAACTGCGCAATTACTAACTTAAAACGCGCGAAATCTTTTCTAGGAATACAGTATTTCAGACACACGAATAGGGGTTCCCTGTTCCGCAACATATCCTACCGAAACAATTAATCCAGGGACTATATACTATTATATATAGCTTTTTAATCATGGAAACAAAGGCATTTACACAAGTCGATAGACTGAACGCTTACTTATTAATGTATTAATATATTTGCTATGTAAAACGCGTATTGTAAAAATGAAAAAAGAATATTTTTAAAGCTATGTAGAGATATTGAAAAGTATGCATTTGTTATACAAACGCCATCAACTTGACTTGATATAAAGCGAATACTATGCTAGTGTCTGATTTAACATAATTTATCAGACAAATGGTACACCCTCGGCCTTGACACTTATTTTGGTATTGTAATTATAACGTTTTCAATTTAATTTATGTTTCTTCTTTTAAATTTCAATTGAAACAAAAACCTGTTAAGAACCTCCCGAGTTCATGCCCGGTGCATATTACGGGTCATGGTCATATCTATAAGATATCGTTCTACATGTTTTAAGTCAATTGATCAATTAAGGGAGACTTTATATGTAAAAATCTATTCGATTCAAAGTTTAAGATTTTTAAAACTAGTGACAGGTAAAATCTTCTTCTTTTTCTTTTTATTTCAATGTGTAATGATAAGTTGTCTGATAAAGCTATGGATGACTGATAACGTTAAATATATCAGACATACGCCTGTTCAACAGAAATCAATGTAATGACATGATAAAAGTACTTGTGATGCTTTTGTATTGATTCCATTACCCTATTCAAACTCAAATCTCACTATTTATTTATTAGAGACAAAATCCATATTTATTAATAAATCCGCCTCCTCTTTCCTGATAAACGAAATGACTTTGTTAAGCTAATGAAAGGCATAGATAAACTTTAACAACGATAATATGTACACGCAGTTAAGGATAAACATAACATTAAAATATTTATGTTATTAATAAAACATGATTCTTTACCAGTAACTGGCTTTAATGTCCCTGGACGAATACACATCAAAAATTCATGAAAGTCTGTATAGCTCTTCTCTTTCAACAAGACTGCTGATTGCTGCTTTTCTTTGAAATCATTTTTAAACATGGCCTCAAAAACTGGTGAAGACAGTATTAGTAGGTTTTGTGACACATACAGTTCTTGTTGATCATCGAAAACTAAACGTAATTCATCCAAACACTTTCCATTTAAAATCAAATTAGTTGTTTCCTGCAACTGTTTAGAGTTATCTACCTTTAAATATGACAAAAAAGCAAAGAACTCACAACTCAGGGAAAGACTCTCTTCTTTTATTGAATTGTTCAATTATGATTCTCTTAAAGCAAATTAATTAATCAATAATTTACATTTCTAATATATGCCTTTGTAAAAACATACAAATATTTCCAATTAGAGGCCTTATACCTTAAACATTGTTGTTTTTTGTTTTTTTTATGTTTTTGCGGGATTATTTATTACAGCACAGTAGTTTAAGCTAGTACTATGGTCCGTTAGGGATGTTGCACTTTTCTATTAGCTGTCACAAACCGGCTAAATCAAACCGCGTCTGCAATTTTCATGTAATACCGTTGTTTCATTGCACCCTAGCGACAACTCTTTTTCAAGATATTCATAACCTCTGATCTCGTTTCAAAATTTTATTTAATTTTAGTTCCGCACATTACTTTCTTTTTAAGGGCACATGCATTTTAAAATTTTGAGACCATACACCGCTTTTCATGAATTGATACGAACCTGTCGCATGAAAGTTCAATGAAAACCACCGTATGAACTCATCTGTGGATACCAAATGTTGAATTCTGCTTAAGTTGGTGGATTGACAGAAGTATAAATCAACACGGTCACGAAGTCATTGAGTTTTTAATTCAATCTAAGTGTTGTGTTCTAAATGGCAGATATGACCCAGAGCAAGACACATTTACGTCAGTTTCAAGAAAGGGGAAATCGGTCGTGGATTTTATATTCATGCCTCATGACGTATTTAAGTACTGTAAAAATTTCAAAGTAATACCTACACAGTCGATAATTTACACTCATTACCTAAATGGTTTATTTGCAAATAGATCCCGTATACCAGATCACAGTGTTCTAGTTTTTGAACTTGAAACGGACTATAATTACAGTTGCGATCAAACAAGTATAACAGTCAGGTTTAACTTAAGGCATTTACCGAAAGATTTTATGAATAGTGAAACAAGCAGACTGGCAATGACAAACGTAATTACACAAATTGAACGATCAAGAGAATTACACAAATGAACGTAGACTCAATTTATGAACAATTATGTGAAGCAATTAAGCATGAAATGAATCAAAGAATCCCAAAATATTGATCCTCTCGCGGTACATTCCGGCGTCACAAAGTAATGAAAACAATACTGGGATGATAATTTAAATACTCTTTGGAATACAACGCGAGTAAATGAGCATACATATTTAAAATGCCGTGATAATAAGCAACACAGATTACGTTTGAGAATGGAATATGTTTCGTCTAGAAATATTTTCGACAGGGAGCTCTAACGATGTGAACGTATATACAGACAATCAAAACCATTTGAATTGAACATATGTCAACAAATGATCCAAATGAGTTTTGGCGCAATATTAAAAACTTGGGTCCCCAAAAACGTAAAGACATTCAAATTGAAATAGTGGACAGTCTGGGATCAGTCATACGTGTCAAGCACGTTGTTTTCGAGCGCAGGAGACAGGATTTTCAGAACTTGTATAATTCACAGGATGATAAAGATTTTGATGAGGATTATTATAATCGTGCTAAACTACATACGCATCTTCAAGAAATGAACATTTCAGTTCCCCTCTATGAACCAAATCATACGTTAAATACGAACATCACAGTGAAAGAGTGTGCATTTTTTGTCATTAAAGCGAAATTGGATTCTGCTTGCGGCTTTGAACGTATTCCGTACGACGTGCTTAAGTATCCGGTAAATATCTCAGTTCTACAACATTTATTTCAAATGATATTCGACCTCAGCATTATACTATCAATATGGAGAAAATCTGTAATTTGTCCAATCATCAAAAACTCAGAATCAGACGCACGAGTACCAATTCAGTACCGTGGAATAAGCCTGTTATCTTGTATAAGTAAACTATATAGCTCATTTCTTAACAAACGATTGGCAGAATATCTAGAAGGTGCCAATATACTAGCTGATAAACATAATGGATTTCGCTCTAAAAGATCTTGTGAGGACCACGTGTTTTCTCCTAACAGTATTATACGCAACAATAAATCGGTGTTTATGGCATTTATTGACTTAAAACGTTGTTTCGATTACATAGACAGAGACATGCTTTTAAACAAGCTTCTTAACAACAACATTGACGGAAAGATGTATAATTCTATAAAAAAAACATATACGCTAGCTCCAGTCCGTGTGTGAGAATAAATCAGAAAATGACTAACTGGTTCGACTGTGTCACAGGAGTCAAGCAGGGCTGTACATTATCGCCGACACTATTTTCCATCTTAGCCAATGATCTTGCAGAAGAAATTAAAGACCTCGACCTTGGCGTGCCTATGGGTGATATTAAAGTATCGCTACTTATGTACGCAGACGACAGAGTTTTGATCTCAGATTCTGAAGAAAAATTACAGACAATGCTAAAAACTATTCATGACTGGTGTAAGAAATGGCGCGTTCTAATAAATACTAGTAAATCAAACTGTATCCACTTCAGAAAAGGACAGGCGCAAAGAACAGACTTTGCATTCAGAATCGGTGACAACGAGCTAGAAACCGTTGAGGCTTACACATATCTAAGCGTTATATTCCACGAAAAACAACTGTGATGATTAAGCAAAAGGAGCCGGTCGTGCATTAGGAAGCATTATAAACAAAATGCACAACTACAAAGAGTTCGGATTTAAATCTTTTGAAAAACTTTACAAGTCATGTGTTTTAGCAATATTTGACTACTGTGCGTCTGTTTGGGGGAATAAACATTTAATATTCAAAATCGCGCAATGAGATATTTCATGGGCGTTCATAGATTCACACCCATACTTGCCATGCTTGGAGACACAGGTTGGTTACTCAGCCGTTACCGAAGATGGTCCTCTACGTTACGTCTCTGGAATCGATTAGTGTGTATGGATACTAACAGACTGACATGCAAACTGTTTAAAACAGACTATAGATAGTGCTCAAATAATTGGTGCAGTGATTTAAAAACAATTATGTACACACTGGGATTGAATGATAACTTTGACCATTTATCCCCGGTCAATCTCTCTCAAGCAAAAATACCCATTAATAGTTATTATTCAAACATATGGGCTCGAGATATTCAAAACTGGTGCCAAGTGCCGTGTGGCAGCCGTATAAGGTTGCCCCGTACTTCACTTCAGTGATGTTATATTTTCTGGTCCTTCGGGATCATTGATGCCAACACTATAAAGTGTTGAGAATTGAGTACCGCTCAAGCCAGTGCTAGCGGGCGTGAGGGATGTTGCACGTTTTCATTATCCCTCATGTACAGACTCAATCAAACCGAGTCTGCAATTCTAATGTTATTTTGTTGTGATTAATGCTTCCGAGGGATCACTTTGTTTCCAGAATTTTGTACTTCACAACAGCAGGTGTCAAGTGCCGTGTGGCAGCCGTAAAAAGTTGCCCCGTACTTCACTTCAGTGTTGTTATATTTTCTGGTCCTTCGGGATCATTTATGCCAACACTATAAAGTGTTGAGAATTGAGTACCGCTCAAGCCGGTGCTAGGGGATGTGAGGGATGTTGCACGTTTTCATAATCCCTCATGTACAGACTCAATTAAACCGAGTTGCAATTCTTATGTTGTTTTGTTGTGATTAATGCTTCCGAGGGATCACTTTGTTTCCAGAATTTACCAAAATTAAGAACATACAGACTGTTCAAAAGGGAATTTAAAACTGTTGAATATTTATTATTAAACTTAAAGAAAAATGAAAGGTCATTATTAGCTCAATTCAGGTTTACGGATTGAGACAGGTCGATATGTCGGCGAGTCTGTAGAAGATAGACACTGTACACTGTGCGATTCCGGAGCCATAGAAACAGAGACACACTTCTTACTAGAGTGCAGTTTATATTCAAATGTTAGAAATACTGTATTTGGCAACTTATTAACAGACAATTCATTTGTAAACCTAATGACCGAACACAAACTCGAGCACTTAATGACAAAATATCCTCGTAAAATGTCTAAATACATTGTTGCTGCCTTTATGTGTAGGCAGAACCGAATTTATTCATAACAAAACAAAAGACTGTGGTATCCCAAAATAATGACAATGATAATAATAAATGAAAGCTAGAAATGTGTCATCATGCCCCGGATGCCCCCGCATGCAGCCAAAATTTCAGATGTTATAATATTTAGTTCCAAATTTGTTTGCACAAATTATTTTTTTCATTTGCAGTTCAAAGCCCTTAAAACTTTTCAATTTAAACACAAACCATTTTCATACAATGTTCAAAGCACTGAAATTATTCAGTCTTAACCTTTTGAAAATAGCATATTTCATATTTGTAGCCAAAATAATGGCTACATACATTTCCACAAAAGTATGAGTGCTGAAACTGAAAGTTCAAATTTTTTCCAACATTCAAGAAAGATGAGTTTGTCCAAAATCATTGAACCACGACTAAATTCAAACTTTCCACAAAAGTATGAGTGCTGATACTGAAAGTTCAAAATTTTTCCAACATTCAAGAAAGATAAGTTTGTCCAAAATAATTGAACCACGACCAAATTCAAACTTAAACTGCTTATTCCTAAGATGTATCTATATAATTTTCAAAGTGAAAGGGACATATCTCTGCCAAAAAATCATCGAACCATGACCAAATTCCAACTTGACCTGACAATTCCTTTGACAAATCCATATGTCAAATTTGAGTTGAATATGTAACACTGTTGGGTATATAATGAACAGAAACTGTAAATTTCATATTATTTTCAAAGTGAAAGGGGCATTACTCTGCCAAAAATCATTGAACCATGACCAAATTCCAACTCGGCCTGGGCATTCCAAAAACATATCCATATGTCAAGTTTGAGTTGAATATGTTGTACCGTTGGGGAGATAATTAACGGAAACTGAAAATTTCATATTATTTTCAAAGTGAAAGGGGCATAACTCTGCCAAAAATCATTGAACCATGACCAAATTCGAACTTGACCTGTATTTTCTCAAGACATATCTATATGTCAAATTTGAGTTGATACCTTTGGGGAGATAATGAACGGAATCTGAAAATTTCATATTATTTTCAAAGTAAAAGGGGCATAACTCTGCCAAAAATCATCAAACCATGACCAAATTCGAACTTGACCTGTATTTTCTCATGATATATCCATATGTTAAGTTTGAGTTGAATGTGTTGTATCGTTGGGGAGATAATGAACGGAAACTGAAAATTTCATATTATTTTCAAAATAAAAGGGGCATAACTCTGCCAAAAATCATCGAACCATGACCAAATTCGAACCTGTATTTTCTCATGACATATCCATATGTCAAATTTGAGTTGAATGTGTTGAATGTGTGCAACCGTTACTTAGATAATGAACGGAAACTGATGATGACGGAATGACAGAATGACGGAATGACGGAAGGACGGAATGACGGAAGGACGGAAGGACGGAACAGGGTAACACTATATGCCGGGGGCATAAAAAAAACTAACTACGCAACTCTCCATAAAGCTCCATATAGAGCGTTAAACGCTAACCATTAATCAGAATCACATTACACTTTATATTTGTTATACCATGATTTCAACATTTTATGTTTTATATGATGCATTATGAAATCATTACATTGGTGACTTATAGGCCCATTGGGCCGGGTGCTATAATTGTACACATGTACGATTGAAATTTGTAATTGACTATGCACATGTCACAATAATAAACAACTTACTTACTTACCTACCTACCTACCTACCTACCTACCTACCTACTTACTTACTTATTATATATTTAAATAGTTTGTACTGAGTTGTGCTTTGTTTTGTATGGTAGTTGTGATCAGCCTGTGTTCCAACGTAGTCCATAATGTAACAGTGACTGAAAACAATTTACAAATAAATCATTGAAAACGTACTACAATCAGAATGATAATAATGTAAGAAATTCATACAAATATTTATTTTCAAAAATAATGTATCAATTTTATTACATCATTTTGTGTTACAAACATGTAAACGACATAGATTTCATATTTGATCGAAATGAATGCTATCTTCTGTGTAGCAAAATAACACCTATAAATAAAATCTAGCACTGTCTCATATAAAGTTTTTTTCTTGCCGGATCACTTATTTCAGGTGGTTACTGGACGACATTGTCTGTATCCAGTGCCAGTCTTTTGCTTAATATTGTACATCTAAGCTCAGCAGGAAGGGTCTGGAATACTGTTTTACATTCACGAATTATTTTACGGTAAGTGATTTTTTTTCCGTTTATTTCTTGTGTATTTGAATGATAGTCGGTACAAAGCGTGTCAGGTTTATACGAACCATAATATATTCTATGCGGCATTTTGGCGATAATGTCCACAGCGTTGTCTACAAGTGATATGTAATTCCGTGCCAAAGACGTCGTGAGAATACTTAAACATTGTCGTGTTGGTTTTATGATATGATATATATAAATGCCAGTTTTGCTTTTAGCAGATACATATTCTTTCTCGAGCCAGTTTTTCATAACCGATTTGCAACTTTGGATGATTGAGTCAACTTGATATTCCTCCGCTATAGGTACAATGCGCAGTACATTGGCTTCTGAAAAGAAATAAAGAAATGCAATAAGACAGGGCCGAGGTGTTACTGGAATTCATTCGATTTTGCCATACCGTTTATTAAAGATGGAAAACTAATTTCAAGTAAATCGATTTTGTATTACTATGTACACAAAACAAAACATATAACTATTATATCATTTATTTTTCTTTTTTTTTCTTTTTTCTTTTCTTTCTTTCTCTTTTAGCTGCCTAGGTATTATATGATAAAGAAATTACTCTGCAGTAAGTGAAACTGAAACAAATGCATAAGTGTACAGAAAAGTAGGCATTAAGAAGAACATCCTTCTTACATTGTCGAGCATATTTTATTCATTTACATTCTAATTTATAACTCAGTTCTCACCATCATGTTAAACTGTGTGATGTCTTATTAATTAATTTGATAAGAAAAAAACATAAACACATACAGCATGACTTTGAACGTTAAAATGCGATTATTTCAGACACAGTAAATGGGAGTTCCCTATCCCACAACAAATCCTACCGAAACAATTGATCACTTATATATAGCTTTTTAATCATGGAAACAAAAGCAGTTACACAAGTCGATAGATTAAACTATTACCTATTAATGTACTAATATATTTGCTATGTAAAACGCGAACGATAAAAAAGAAAACAAAGAACATTTTTAATACTATGTAGACATATTGAAAAATATGCATATGTTACCATCAAATTGACTTAATATTAGGAAAATACTATGCTAGTGTCTGATATAACATAATTTATCTGACAAATGGTACATCCTCGGCCTTGATACTAATTTTGGTATTCTAATTATAACGTTTTCAAGTTAGTATATGTTTCTTTTTTTAAATTTCAAATGAAACATTAACCTGTTAAGAAACTCTCGAGTTCATGCCCGGTGCATATGTCATGGTCATATTTAGAAGATATCGTTCTACATGTTTTAAGTCAATTGATCAATTAAGGGAGCCTTTATATGTAAAAATATATTCGATTCAAAGTGTATCAGTTAAAGATCTTTAAAACTAGTGACAGGTAAAATTTTCTTCTATTTCTTTTCATTTCAATGTGTATTGATAAGTTGTCTTATATAGCTGTGGATGACTGATAACGTTAAATATATCAGATATGCACCTGTTCAACATAAATCAATGTAATGACATGATAAAAGTACTTGTGATGCTTTTGTATTGATTCCATTACCCCATTCAAACTCGGATCTCACGATTTATTTATTAGAGACAAAATCCATATTAATAAAACCGCCTCCTCTTTCCTGATAAACGACATAGATAGACTTTAACAACGGTAATATATACACGTAATTAAGGATAAACATAACATTGAATATTTATGTCATTAATAAAATATCATTACTTACCTGTAACTGGCTTTAATGTCCCTGGATGAATACACATCAAAAATTCATGAAAGTCTGTATAGCTCTTCTCTTTCAACAAAACTGCTGATTGCTGCTTTTCTTTGAAATCATTTTTAAACATGGCCTCAAAAACTGGTGAAGATAGTATAAGAAAGTTTTGTGAAACATACAGTTCTTGTTGATCATCGAAAACTAAACGTACTTCATCCAAACACTTTCCATGTGCGGTAAAACGGCTCCAGACACTTCGGACATTCTTCCTTCTCATCTTCTGTGTGTGTACTCATTTCAAATCTGTTTTATTATAAAAATCCTTGAATGATTAAAATAATATAGATATAGCTCTTTTAATTCTTGAATGAATAAATAAATATATTTTTTCTTCAATCAAACCATTTAACGAATATAACAGGTTTAAACTGACTTGATATACAAATCAATACGAGCAAAATACATTTATAAAGCTTTCAATACACCACGAATCAGCTATAGAATATATCGTTTCTACATTTTTGACGCGTTAATCTTTAGTTTCGCCAAAACAGGTTCGTTATGTATAGTTCATACAAGTAAGATAAAATCAGATCGATATGGTACGTTATTTAAAGCATACGAAATCACTTGTTCGTAAGCGGACTTCATCATAGAAAACGCTATTCAGAAAAACAAAGTTTAATTTATACAAAAGAATAAGAACGTGGAAAAGTTATATGAACGGTTTTCGATAATTATATAGGCATTGAAGGTTTTTGTGGCGTTTTTTGTCAAAAAGAAAAATTTAAGTAACGTGGATGCAAATAATCTTACAGCAGACGTTCGTTATGTATAGTTCATACACGTTAGATAAAAATCACATCGATTATGGTAAGTTAATTTTAAAAGCATAGCGAAATCAGTTGTTCGAAGAGCAACTAACATAAGCGGACTTAATCATAGAAAGCATTCATTCAATATTATACCACACCCTTTTAAGATGGCACAAATTTTAGGAATTCAACTGAAAAAATTAGCGACGTATTCTGAAGTTAAAGGAGCTATTAAATTTATTGTTTACGATTTAACTCAGTCATATCAGTGCTTGATAATTAGGTAGCTATATTGTTTTACTAAAGAATAACTATTTTCCCCGGAAACGGCGAAAATTCAGAAAAACAAAGTTCAAATTATATCAAAGGAATAAAAATTTGGAAAAGTTATATGTATTGTAATTTTTTTTTTTTTTTTTTTTTTTTTTTTTTTTTTTTTTTTTTTTTTTCAGTTGATTTTCAATTAAATATATATAAGCGCATGAAAATTTTTTGTGGTTTTTGTGAAAAGGGGACAGAATCAAAGTAATGTTATGCCAAAATAATCTTTTACAGCAGATAAAATTAAATATGCTGGATCTCAAGGTGAGATAATTACACTAAAGTGTGACATTAAATGTCCCATTGTTAGCAACAACATTTGTTCATGTCTCGAAAGTTTATTAAAGTTTTTGCGTAAGTGGGTCAAAGTACGAGAGCTTGAAATTACTCAATATTTTGGGCCATCCATTAAAAGGCTTGTTTTTCGATCCCTGAAGATCGTTTAGCATGGAATCATCGTTGTGTTTGTGGCATTTCTTCTATCATTTTCTTAGTCGGGGTCGGCTCCAAGACTGTATTATCCACGTTTAAGATATTATGTAGTAATAGATGGATGGATGGAATGGTGGGCATGGATGGAGGATGGATGGATGGATGGATGGATGGAAAATGGATGGATGGATGATGGATGGAATGGATGGATGGCATGGAGTAAATGGATGGATGGATGGATGGATGGATGGATGGATGGATGGATGGATAGATAGATTAGATAGATTAGATAGAATAGATAGATAGATAGATAGATAGATTGTAGATAGATAGATAGATAGATAGATAGATAAAATACAAAAAAATGCCTGCATTTTAGATTTCCGTCACATTCAGTAGCATATAAACTCAAAAATAAAGCACCCACCCCCAATAGAGACTTTATTTTATTTACATTTAATTTTTCAGTTACTTTATTTCAGTTATAATGAAAAGTTTTAAAACATTTTTTAAAAAATTCTATCAAAAAAATAATCTTAGTAAGCCTCAATGTTTTTAACGTTCAAAAAGGAGCATATCTTCAAAATAATTATATCAGAACTCACAACTCAGGGACATACTCTCTTCTTTTATTCGAATTTTCAAATTTAATGTTTCCCTTCTTAAAAATAAAATTTAAAAATTCCCAATCAAAAAATTTTACATTTCTACCTATCCCTTTGTAAAACGAACAAAAAAAATTTCCAAATTAGGGGCCTTAAAAACCTTCATTTTTGTTTTTGGTTGTTGTTTTTTTTTTTTGTCTTGGGGAAATCATTTATTACATAAACAGTTTTTAAAGTACTTTTGGTCTAAAAAGTAAAATTTTGGGCCTACAATCCCAGCAATTGAGAGGTTTCCTGCAAAATAAATGCCCCTAAATTTACAAAATACCTTCCCAAAAATTTTTCCCTTTTCGCGCAGGTCTTTGTTATATTCAGATTAAGACTTTTGGGATATTTTTTTCCCAAAATTTTTTGTTAAACCTTTTTTGCCTTTAAAATTATACTTATTTTAAATGCACTGCCTTTTAATTAAAAAAGGGGGGCCAAAGGGATTTTAAAATAAAAAAAAATTGTTTCCCCACTGATGCCTTTTAAACCTGGTAAGGAAAGAATTTCCATTCTGAATACAAACGAGCTTACAAGACTTGTCTAAAAGAGATTTATGTGAACATGATCTTGTACTGTTTCTATTTGTGACACAACTAGTAAAATAGGGCATTAGTAAATTTAAAATGATTAAAAATATCAAAGTCGTTTTTGGCCTTATTATAAATTTTGTAAAAACAAATATAACAAATAGTAAACGAAAAGGGACTTAATATAAAGATAGTTACATTATTTATTATATAAGTATATATTTTCCATCGGACCATAGCTTTTGTAATATTTTAAGAGATTAATCTAGCACACGCACATTTTTTTTCATTTCAAAAATTAAAAAAAAGGTTTTCTTTCAATACTCCGAAATAGAAATACACCTCTGCATTATCAAACTGTTCACTTTTTTTCTTGGAACTTGTTTAATAAACAACCCCAAACAGAGCAATTGAAGATTGTTATTGTCAGATTAATGGCCGCTTTCGGCAAAAATCAATAATTAAGTTGTTACAGGGTTTGTATTTAAATTACGATGTACATTATATTTTCTAAATAAAATTTTATGTTTAAACCAACACACCTTCTTATCAGGTGAACATAATTAGAAAACTATTGGGGGATGAATTTCAAAAAGACCAACTCTTTTTTTTGTAATACACGCGTTACATGGAGATTACAGTATTCATCAAAATATTATTGTGGATAAAGGGAACTGTTAAACCGTGAATTTTAGTAGCAGGTATGAGGAAATTTCACTAAACATCATGTTCGTGCGAGTCAATGAATATTTAAAAGCTATTTATGAACATTATGGTTTTGATATAATTAAAGAAACTATTGATAACTGATATTATTGGGCATAGATTCAATATATTTTTTGTTGAATTTCTTTAAAAACCATTTCATAAAAAAAATTAACAACTTCATGTTTCAAAATGCAGACCAAAGTTTATGTTATCAAATGATGCTATCTATCTACAGCTTATGCTTAGTGAAGGGTTTCCATACGGCTCGTAAGGCCACAAAATGCAGCTTTCGCCTGTCGATTTACGGACCCACCCAAACATTGTCACCCAGTCATTACCCACTGAAGCGCAAAGTGGGAATGCCTACACCAATTTTGACGCCAATGAAATGTAAACTTTTATATACTAAAGTTTAATTATTTTCAAAACAACCAATATATCAACATGTATTATTTTAAACATTTAATTTCATAAAAATATAAATTAAAAGAATAATTATCAAAAGCAAAATTTAAAAGTCTTATGCCTTGAAATCTTCATTTATATTGACAAATTCAAATTCATTAATAGTATACTTGATATGCCTGTGCGTAAATTGTAATTCCCAAAATGTAACAACATTATAACTTCATTGTACTTACTAAAAAGGGAAATAACAAATTTATAAACCTTAGTGTCAAAAATCAAGAATTATTATAGCAAATTTTTATAGCTTTTCCAATTCATGTACAGCAGAACTGCTTTCCGGTTCTTCATTTTCATTAATACGACAAGCTTGCCATTTACTGCGAATCACCGAAAAGGGGAACCAATATAGAAATGAATGCGGATTTATTTTTAGCTGTTTAAATCGAAGGGTTTTTAATTGATCAAATCCGGCGCCCATGGACAAAAAAATAGTTTACACAAATTAGCTCGAGCCTGGTGGGCGGCGGATCAATGAGGGATGTTGCACTTTTTTTATTAGCTGTCACAAAACACGGCTAAATCCCAAACCGGCGTTTGCAATTTCATGTAATACTGTTGTTTATCCCGAGCGACCACTCTTTTCAAAGATTTTCAATAACCTCTGATTAGCCGTTTCAAACTTTTTATTTATTTTAGTTTGCAATGTTATTTTTCTTTTTATGGGCACATGTATTTTATATTTTGAACCAATACGCCGGCTTTTTTTATAAATTGATACGAACCGGGTCACATTGAAAGTCCCAATGAAAACCACCGTATGAACTCATCTGTTGATATCCCCATGATGAATTCATGCTTAAGTTGAAGCTAGGAGGTTGTGGACAGTTGCTCGCATTACCAGTACCGTCATGATTGTCCTAATCAAAACCGAGCCTGTAGCATTTTCTAATTGTGCCGTTCTGGGCATTCTTTTTTAAAATCAAATATACCATGCTTACTTTTGTTCAGTTGGTTAAACCCTAAAGATTAGATTTTTTAGCAAATGCCGTCTAAATATCAGTTTGTTTCCCTGTAACATTTACAGTCTATTTTTTGTTTGTTGGAATCCCCGTTCACAATGTTACGACGGTGAAAGCGTGATGGGCCCATGGTACGATGATTGAACGCGATGGTCCGATGGTGAAAACACACAATGGTACGAACCGAAACGTGTAACAACGTTGTATGATGGGAGACAACGATAGTACGAAGGCACATTTATCGCCGGTGCTCTTCACAAATGTACTTGAATGACATAGAGTTAAAAGCACATTAATAAATACTTCAAATATTGTCCGCTTTCCCTTATCGAATGCAGAAAACACTAAATCCAAAAACATAATCGTCATTGCATTATTATAATCATTAAAAAAA